GCAACACTGTCCCATGTTAGGGGAGGGTTGAGCGCTTGCAAACATTGTTGATTTGATATGTTAAGGGAGCTACCATTTGATTTTTATGGGGGGCTAGGATGAAATTTGAAAAAAATAGGCAGGACAGGAGTTTTGAGTAAAAAAAAAGGCAGGATGAGCAACTTGGTAAAAAAAAAGGCAGGATGACAATTTGGTTAAAAAAATTCAGGATAAACTAGTAAAAAAAAAAGCAGGACCGAATAGAGTAAAAAATAAAAAGGCAGGACAGAGATTACGACTAAAAAAAAAAGCAGGACAACATTTTTCATCCTAGCCCCCCCCCCCCCCATAAAAATCGAATGGTAACTCCCTAACATATAAAATTAGTTTAAAATTTTACCTTTGATTTTTTTGCAATTTCCACCTACCATCACTTTGAATCAAACTCCCTTCTGTGTTACTGATACCAAACATCGACGAAACCTTTCGGCTACCAATTGGCTTAAGTTTGAAATTCTATGTTATGTGTATCAATATGACCAGAATTGTTTTCCTTCTAAAGATTCCATTTTTATATTGAGGGAAAGAAGTAGTATATAGTGTATACAATGAAGTACGTGTATATTCAAATTTATTTTTTTAAAGAATGATAACATCCCAATTTGTTCATTTTATATTTAGGGTAATTTCATCTGATGCTCAATTTTTAGTTTTCTATGTAATAGTATGTGAACTTTTTTTGTCTTCTCGTTGTCTTTTTTTTTTACCAGGCCGTAGTCAATTTCTCTCGAGTTTTGAATATCTCAATCTTATCTTAATAAGTCTCTTTTTTCTAATATATATTTTTACAAATGTATAATTATTTCATAATTCAAAGCCACTACACATATACACCAAATAATCGTAGTTTATATTGCATCATTCAAGATATGTAGGTGGTTGTTTGTGTTCAGTGATAAAATGATGATCTAATCGAAAAGGAACTGTAAGGTTTTGATCCCACGGTCATTTTTTTACAAAAATTTGCATACAAGCTATTTTTCACCTAGTCAATTCAAATATGTTTTACAATATATACCTCCATGTGCCACTTTAAGAGATAAATGGGGTCCAAATTTTAGACATTTACTCACAATTTCGATGTCTTGGACATTTATATCTTTTGGACAGATATACCTAACTTTTTTGTTTCAAAAGATAACCACGAGCGGATTTTTGTAGAAACATATTGAATATCTTCTTAACATTACTATGCTATAAATTTGTGTAACAATTGTTTAGATATATTTATTCTAATTAAATTTTCATGATTTTAGAAGAAAACGGCCTTTTTTGCTGTATAATTATCAAATTTGATAAAAAATCATCGGCAATTTTTTTTTCCAGAAAAGTTGATACAAATAATCTTCATACATAATCAAGCCAGATGCTATTTTAAAAAAGAGGGGTCCATGTACTCGTTTTCAAGCTACTGATTAACAATGCATCTTTTCTCTAATATGTCACTGTTTCACGTCGCGAAAAATAACATTTTACTTTGACAACGTTATTACCTCCCCTGTAACTGTATCGTACGCCTTTTCGTATGAAATACCATTCGCCTTCGGGCTCATGCTATTTTTTTCAACGAATCAACGCTTATCGAGTGTTTCTCCTTTAGAAGAGTAACTTATGTAACGTGGAATTTTAGTTTCTTCATCATAAGCTTATCACTATATAAAAATATAAGAGGGTTTTGTAACTATGGGCAAATCTTTATCGAGCGATATAAAAATAAGAAGAAGTGATATTATTGCCAATGAGACAACTGTCCACCAGAGACCAAATGTTGTAGAAGTTAACAATATAGCATTCATTATCAGTGTTATGCTCTTTACACACAAACTTTTCCAACTTTTCCAACAAAGTTATGACGAAGAATGACTGAAATCGAAAGTTTTACGGCCACCATCACGGATTGGTTGACCGATACGACATGTCTGTTTCTTATAACTCTCTAGCGACGTGCTTTTGCAGTCTTAGTTAGATCTTTAGATACCAGAATAGAAGTCTTACCTGTAATTTTAAAGATTGTGTCCTTATCCCGAATGTGACAGTTTGACTGTGTGTGGAGGAACATGGAGGAACATGAATAACAGGAGACATTTCCTTGTAAACGCACCCGTTCTGGCTCCTTTTGAGGTTCATGTGATTCCCCCAGTTTTGTTTTTATTTTAATTTGTCTTTTTAATCGATTTATGAGATTTGAGCATCTTTTTAACATTTTTTAACACTTTTTTGTCGACTTAATTTGTGTAATAATATCGTCAGTCCTTTGATGAGAATATCAAAATGAGGTGTCATCAACAAAATTACCGTATGGATACTTGTAGTTTTCTCAGATATCAATGATAATAAGATAATTTAGGAACCTGCCAAAAAAGCTTATGGAACAAAATTGAGATCAATATACGTATACGACATTTTTTTTAACAACTGTTTGTTGCCTTTAAAACTATTTTTTAACAGCTGACTGATAGTCCGTTTAACTCATATTTAGTAAGCCTTTAAGCCAGACTTGTAGAACGTGTATTAAAGTCAGGAACATCTTAAACATCTAAATAAGTTTTCTGGTGGCTCATTCCATTGTTGTGTTTTTGTATCATTGACGTTTACCTCACGTCAACTACTTATATCTTTGTAATTTAATTTTGGATGTAACACGTCTTCTAATTGGCTGAAAGCGTTTTTTCTATCAGCTCATAGATATAATTTTGTCATGTGACCGTGACGTCATCAACTTTTTTTATCATGATTTACTCCTCCTTAGAATTAAATTATAAGGAATGACTGTCATATTTTTTCTGTCTATTCGAAATAATCTAAAGAATGTGGTGCACACTTTTAAATAACCCGCTAGGCGAGTTATTCAGTGTGCACTACATTTTTGATGTTATTACTTCATAGACAGAACAAATATTACAGTCATTCCTTAAATATACAAACTTTTCTCTTATCTCTTCTGATATCGTTTGCTAAATTACTAAAACAAATAAGTCACTTTCACTCATAAACTTAAAAAAAAAAAACAATCAAATGTATCAATAAACACGCACACAAAAAAAAATGAAAATGATTACTCGATTATTCAAAGATACTTTTAACTCTTCTTCAGGTTATCAACATTTTAGTTAAAAAAATATAATATATGATCTTCATATTTTTATTAATATCAATGTGATATCTTTGACAATAATAAATATAAATATACATTGTGATTCGTACTTAAATAATGAATAAGGCAACCCATTTGGATGTTTATCAAGCATACATTATTACAGTGTGTGGGGTCTTTACCAAATTTTACAATTTGTCAAGTAGAAGTCTTTCAATTTGATTCAAAATAATAAATTATAATAGAAAATACCAGAAATCAAATAAAACTCATAAGTTGAAGAGAGGTCAACAAAAACATGGCAAAAACGAAAAACAACGAAGAGACAAGCAATAGTTTACAAAACACTACATCAAAACATAAAGACTGAGCAACACGAACCCCACCAAAAACCAGGGATGAGGTCAGGAGCTCCAGACGGATAACCATATCCTGCTCAACATGTGGAGCATGTCGTGTTTCTCATGTGAAGTACACATTCGATAATCAGTCTCTTTCGGTAATGTCACAATCGAAGAAAAGGGGACAGTAGAATGGTTACGATAATTGTAAAATATCTGTTGTCATCTGTGACATGATATTCTATAACTTTCAACTAATTCATGATAGTGCCCGTAAAACATCCAAAGGAATGACTCCACCTTGTCCACTAGGAAATCTTAGTTCAAGTGATTCCGTGTATGCAAGCAACCTTATATAAACTAGTGTTTTAATCCATTACAACCATTTGTAGGATTTTTCTCTGTTCAAAAATTACAATTTAGGCGAAATGGGAATAAATTGTAAATTGAATTCACCTAGAATTTGTCGGTGCATGACTGAAGTTCGCGTTGATATGAAGTTAATCTCGATATCTTGTAAGACAAGACTATTACCTACTTATCACTTGTTTCTATCACATAATAGTTCCTATAAGGACAAGTCGAAGTAATGTTATTTATTTCATGATTTGTTTATTAAAAAATTGGTTAACCGACTTAAATGCTTTTATAAAATTTGGACTTTGCATGACCCTTTAAATTACTCAAAAGCACTTGTTCTAAAGTGTATACGGTCAAACTTTTCAATATTTAGCAAGCAGCACAAGTATCTGTGTTATTCCAAACGCAAAATATTTAAAAAACAAAAACAGAAAAAAATATTTAATGGATGTATATCCTAATTCTTAATATTTAAATAAATTAATCAACAAAAAATGCATGTCGCTTCACAAATAGTGCAGTTAAAGAAACGGGGGTCCATAAATATGACCACAGTCTACAGTCTATGGTTCTTACTTTTAGTTCAGAGTACCGTGGTCCCTTTAGAAGATTGCCGTGTTTCACTACTGTCCGTATGTATACGCTACTCTTCAATGTGATTGTTAAAAAGACTTTAACAGGAATACATCAAACATAAATAAATGACTGATATTGCAAAAAAAATCAATTTCTAAACTAACAAACATATTATAAATGTATATCAGCGGTACGATTGTTCGTGCATTGACTTTACTGCACATGCATTATTGTATACATATATTTACAGAATATTATTTGCTTTCATAGTTCAATTTTAATCAATTTAATAATTTGACATTTCTTAGGCATTATGTAAAATGTTTGGGAAAATCAGTCATATTACAAAAACTGTAAGTCAACAAGGATTTTGTAAAATTCATAAGATATTTCCCAAATTTCTTAAAATGACTAATTCTCTGTAATTATATACATGTATATGGGTGTGTTTTAATAGATGTTTAGAACAAATTTCTCTTACACTCAAATAATGCTTGACAAAAACTATAAAGCTTTAAAATTCCTAAAAATTAAGTATCCTTTTTGAATCCTATATTGACACTCCCAGTAGAGACAACATCATTGTAAGCTGGAGGAGGCGCTGAATACTCAGTGTTGTATTGCCGTGGGCTGGAATACTGGGAAGGAGTAAACTGCACACCGGGTTCGTTTAATGTAGCTGGAAAACAAATAATGCTTGTTTTAAATATTGTCTGGGCCGTAAATTGCGTGTCTTGTAAGGTTAGTAAGTTGAGTTTCGCCGAGCGGAGCGAGGCGAACATTTTTTTTTTTACCCATTTTAAGCAGAAAATGATATTTTTTCGAGCCTTTCCCCTGTATGCAATGTACCTCCTCAGAATTCACCACTTGTTAAATTTTTTTTATATTTCAATAAATAAACGCCTGGAATATATTGAAAATAGTTATAAACCAGAGTTAGATTACGTGTGCCGGTAAAGTAAGATTTTTTACGCTTCAGCCTGCTTTATGACTCTTCACAAGCTATTTTTTCTTAGTTTTAGGGAAACAATTTGCGAACTTAAAATGAAAGGCCCCCTAAAGTTGAGCCTTTTTTTTGTGGTTTATCATGCTTTTTTGGCTGTCCCAATCGAGCTATTTTGACTTCGTTTCAGAGACACAATTTTCAAACCTTAAAATGAAAATGCATTATTAATAACTCATAACTTTTAATGATCAAATTCAAATTATTATAACGTAACACTTTTTGTTTACACTGACAATTTTATTCGGTTAGGCTTTGTCAATTGCTAAGGGAATTTTTCTGTGCCCGAACGATTCCCACCTCTTTAGCACTTCTATGCATTCGATATTGCCAACATTGTCACTTCTATGTGTAGCATAGCCAGACCACGTAATCTGCTTTCCGTCATTGTTAACCTGTTCCATGTTTTAAGGCGCCGTAGCGCAGAAAACGATCTCTCACAACTGCAGGACCAACAGAAGCAAAAGTATTTGTTTTTATATTTGGGTAGAAGTGCGTGTTTGACTGCTTGCTCTATTGTACATTTTGACCCAATCTCATTAATAGACATAAAAGTAACAACCAGTGCTATCAAAATAATGCTTGATTTTAACAATTTTTTCTTTTCAGTATTTTTTTTCTTCATTTTTTCTTTCTTTTTTTTTGTCAGTCCGCAATAGAAGGCAACAGCCTACATGCCTCTATGTAATTTGCGGCCCTGTATTGTTTTATTACATTCAGGTAAAAGCTAAATATAAATAACTTATAGATTTAAATAGAAAATATGGGAAACGAAAAAATCCCCGAAGTCATCATACGGTCCTCAACTGTTGTAGACAAGTGTCTATATTACCAATTTCTAAATCGTCCCTACTAAGTTAAGACAAGTTGTGATATTTAACAGATACTAGCAATTTCCCGTCTTCAACACTAATGTAATGTTTTGAAAAGCCCCAAAAACACTGAGGTATAACCAAAGCTATTTGTACAAACAATTGGGATTCGAACAATATTCTTGAAAATTGCGAAAAGCTTTCTACTCTCAAGATTTTAATTTAATTACCGAAATATGTTTTTGTTTAATAAATGATGGAATTCTGATGGGTGATCGCCATTCTTTTTAGCATCTTTATTACATTTGTATTTGTTTTAAATATACATGGAAATTGGTATATGAATCTAAAAACTATATATCTAATACGCACCATTTGAATTCATCTGATTTGTTGAAATAGTGGAGATTCCTGCTTGATTTGTATTAACAACTTGTCCTCGAGAACTTTTATTACCACTACAGAAGCAAAACACACAACACATTATGCATCCTGTTAAAAAAACAGCACCTCCTATAAGGGCACCAAATACAACTCCTACGATTGCACCAGTTGATCTGTAATGATATATTATAGGATTATTATCATAGATATAATATATTATAGAATTATTATTATAGATACGATATATTATAGGATAATTATCAAAGATATGATATATTATAGGATTATCATCATAGATATGATATATTATAGGATTATTATCATAGCTATGATATATTATAGGATTATTTTCATAGATATGATATATCATAAGATTATTATCATAGATATGATATATTATAGAATTATTATCATAGCTATGATATATTATAGGATTATTTTCATAGATATGATATATTATAAGATTATTATCATAGATATGATATATTATAGAATTATTATCATAGCTATGATATATTATAGGATTATTTTCATAGATACGATATATTATAGGATTATTATCATAGATATGATATATTATAGGATTATTATCATAGATATGATATATTATAGAATTATTATCATAGCTATGATATATTATAGGATTATTTTCATAGATACGATATATTATAGGATTATTATCATAGATATGATATATTATAGGATTATTATCATAGCTATGATATATTATAGGAATATTATCATAGATATGATATATTATAGAATTATTATCATAGATATGATATACCATTAGAATTAACACATCTTTTGTAGAAGTAATTGGTATGTCAACAGAGCCGATACACTCACAAACTGAATAAGAATCCGAATGACCAGACTGTTTTGACTAGAATTGATGCCACTCTCTTTGTACATACAAAAATCCTTTTTATACGAGGCGACTTATAGCATGGGAAAATTTCTATCACTGTTCAACATACATTTTATACATTCTTTTTCAAATTTCCCGCCTTCATCCCGGTTGACACATTTTGCAGACATAACTATTTCATTTCTTGATTTTTTTCTGAATATGCATGAAATATTTTGCATTGAATATTCTTGTGTGTGTGTTTAACGTTATTTCAGCAAAGGCAAAGGTCCGTTATAGGTCAACAGTGGTTAAACTAGCTTGTAATTTTTCGAAATGTTCGTAATGTATCAAAATATTTACCATCAAGCAAGTGTGTTATATATGGCTATGTATGTTTGTACTTCATATGCTATTTTGTTCTTGTTTTTAGTATACTTGTGTTAGAAAAATGTAAACAGTCAGTATAACGAAGAAAATAAAGGGAACAATTCAATTATTTATAGTAATATGGGACCACGCTGGTTGATCGACAACTTTGATTATTTGTATTATCGTTTTGAAACAAACACCCTTACAATGAGGGTCGGTTGAAAACAAAACTTTACGACAAAATAGATGATTCAGCTTCCCAATTGTGAACTTTCCATTTCTATGTAGCAACATTCCAGCAACGCCTGCATACGGAGTATATATCTCCCAGTTGATACGATATTCCAGAACTTGTGTTTCCTATCGTGATTTCCTTGATAGAGGGTTGCTGCTCACAAGGAAGCTATTAAACCAAGAGTTCCAAGTGATGGAGTTGAAATCATCCCTTCGTAAATTTTACGGACGCCATCACGAGTTGGTTGACCGTTATGGAATATCTGTTTCACAGATGACGACGGATATGTTCCAATTGTCGTAACTACAATCTCGTCCCCTTTCCCCCGAATGTGACCTACCGAATTAGACATATCTCCGGGTTTGTACTTACATGAGCAACACGACGGGTGCCACATGTGAAGCAGGACTGCTTACCCTTCCGGAGAACCTGAGTTTTTGGTGGGGTTCGTGTTCACAGTCTTTGCTTTTCTATGTTGTTTTGTGTACTATTGTTTGTCTGTTCGTCGTTTTCTTTTTTAGCCAGGGCGTTGTCAGTTTATTTTCGACTGATGAGTTTGAATGTCCCTTTAGTATCCTTCGCCTCTCTTTCTCTAACTGATTTTGGCCGAGTCTAGGAACAATTATTTCCAAAGTGAAGTGATGTTGTTGGTTTGCTGCCTCATTGGCTTTGATTCTGTTGATGATTAGAATGAACTGGTATGCTATTGTGTATAGATTATTACAGATCCTATGATTTTCATATGTTTTACCAAATATTTCCACCTTATCATAATCCAGTTGTTTTTGAAAATACGGTTTCATTGCAATTTAGGACTCAAAATATCAGCAAGCAAAGTTTGTGGTACAAAAATGCATTTCGCAGTATTATTTGGAAAATACACATTTTTCTTACCCCAGCTATTTATGTTTCAAATGCCTGCATATTCAGGACGAGATAAAATTAACAAACTATATAAATGGAGAATGTGTCCATGGGACACAGATGATGGCCCCGCTTGCATAACTAGAGAACTGTAAAAGTGACACCAACCAAATTCGAATTTGATATGTGTTATGTGGTAATAAGCATTGTGTAAAAGTTTCATAACATTTGGTTGAGGCAAACTAAATTTAGTGAACAATTTTGGGACGTACAGACGGACAAGGGTAACACTTAATGCCCCCTCTGCAGCGGAAGGGGGGGGGGCAAAAAAGGGAACGTTCTGCAAGAGAAAATAAAGACTGGGATTCAGGGTGAGAAATTTGCACTGTCACTGGAAAATTGGGGAACGTTGGGGAATTTCTGCCTTGCAAAAGGCCACATATGGACCGATCAGAGAGTTGTTTGAAGTATTGTTTAACGCACATTGAGTACGCTAGGCAAAGGATTTAACGGATTTTAAATGGAAATCAATGAAAAATATTAGAAATAGGCAGCCCAAAGACTATAAAACCGAGAAAAAAACAGAGCCGATGTGGACAGACAAGTACTACTAGTACTTGTTTTTTCCAGACTCTGGAAATAATTATTACCACAATAGTTTTTCTTAGGGGAATATGTGCTCTATAAATCAGGTATAAGTACTCAAGACCCCATCTGTGTAATGCGGAAAACGACGAATATCATAAGAATAAGACCGAGATAACCCGAGAAGACCAAGAGTTTTTAAGTAATAAAATACAATTAATACCTTTATTAATTATACGACGATATCATCAGCTCAGTAGTGAGTACTTCGATACTGACACGATTTATAACGAACCTTTTAAATTGTCCGTTTACAAATTATCAAGAAACTTAGATTTCAATTCCCTCAGGCAAAGTTGACCTTAGATGGATTTGGCAATATTTTTTCAGTTCTTATACATCCTTGGTTTTTAAATATTCGACTTAAAGTGTGATAACATGAATTACTTGACAAAAATGCAGAAAAAACAAACTTACAGATATGATGAGTAATGGGTATAATAGTAGTAGTAATATGTATAGCTGTAACTTCTGTAACTGATATATCGATAACTACGAAATCCGGATCGAAATCCACGTGCCAATGCAGCTGAAATGAAAGAAAATATCTACAGTGTGTTTTTTGACTGCTTGTTTTGCAATTAAAAAAGCATGCCAATCGGTCACTTTAATTGCGTAATTTAAGTACATCATAAGAAAAAGTGGTAAACACATGTTGGCATGTTGCAAGGCATAATTTCTTCCCCTATCCAACATTCCCTAATTTTTCAGTGGAAGTCCAAATCTCCTGTCCTTCATCCAGGACGATCTACCTTGCAGGATATACCTGATGTATAGATGGTTAACTAGTTCTCGTCCTTAATGTCTATGAAATATTTGCCACTGGACGTTCAGCAAACTACTATTTAACGATGTTTAAAAAAAATCTAGAGCATAATAGATTCTAGATATAAGGTAGATGAAGCACTGTTGAAACTTTTCCTGGACTCGTGACCCGTTTCGTAAAATAATCATGAAAATCATTCGTTAATTTGTAACAGGAGGTCGATTAATTAGTTTGAAAAATCAAGAAAATACAAAGAAAAGGTAGATTCGTATAGGGATTTTACGAAATTAAAAATGATTTCATTGTATTTTTAAGCTCATTTTTGTTAGAAGTTTAAGTCAACCAATGGGCATTAAACATACATTTCATGACGATATAAATACTTTTTAAATACGCCTTTTTTCAATGATAAAGATTACTTAGTACAAAAAACATTTTTTCCTGATGCGTAGGTTTAATCTAATCAAGCATTGCCATTCGTTTACATGTGCCTTGATTGATTTCCGGGACTGAATCGTGACATTGTGAAATAGACCCTACTTTAACGGGACTTATTTCGTTGTCTATTTTACCAGAGCCCGAATATCACCGTTGTGAATGTCATAACAAATATTCCAATAACGTCGCCTTTTATTTGTGGTAAACCGTGCTTACACTTTATCAGTACAAGTAAGCTCTTCCTTTATGAGGAAATATTGTGAATATAGTTTATTTTGAAAAGAAATCCTGTAAGACTTTTCCCCTGACAGTTTTATGATTTGATTTAAAGTAAAATAGAAATGCATAAAAAAACACGTTGAATGCCCCCTAAACATCTAAAGGTCAACATACGTATTATACCATAGAGAGAAGTATACACAATATGCCATGCTTTAAATTGCCTCGAGTCTATAAAAGAAGTGTAGAGCTCTAACATAGACTATCAAACATCTGTCATCAATATCAAAATTTCTAAGAGATATCAAAACATTAAGATTTACTCAACACAACTGAAAAGAGGAACAAAGTCAGGAGCCCGTGATGTTATGGTTGTCGTTGGTTGCTGTCTGTTATATCTGCTTTTCGTTTATTATTTTGTCATAAATCAGGCCTTTGTTTTTTTTTAATTGTGTCACATTTTGTCATGGCGGGACCTTTTATATAGCTGACTATACGGTATGAGTTTTGCTCAATGTCGAAGGCCGTACTGTGACCTATAATTGATTTAATCCACGTAAGTTGGTCTCTGTTGGATAGTTGTCTCATTGGCAATTATACCACATCTCCTTATTTCATATAGCAAGTCCCCATCGGAATACCCGTCACTTGACGTTATTCTCTATCGAATTATTATCAGGCAAAACACTACGGGTTTTAATCATTTCTATGCATTTCCAGTTAGCGTATTTTTTGTAAGTTTCTAACTAAAGAAACAAATTGTAACTACAAGAGATACAGTTATACCAATATTGATAGTAGGAACATTTTTAAAAAAGGAAAATTGCTGATTTATAAGATCGTGTGATATGTAGAGTAGTTTATAGAGTAAAGAAATCAAAACTGTCAATGTATACAGGTTGATCCTTAAAAAGAACGAAAGAATTGCATCAGTCTTTAACTTTTTTCTTCCAACAAAGTACCTTTAGCAGGAAAATAAAAAAATGAAATCACCAAACTTAAAACAACTTTACTGATCAGTATCAATTGACCAATATGTTTGCAGTCGGTTTTATTGTTGATAATAAAAGCCCACGATCTGATATGTCAAAATGCAAAAAACTAAAATACGGTTATGACGAAAACTTTGGCTGTGAAATTTTACCCCCCCCCCCCCCCCCCCATTTCTAATCTAAACGAAAAACACAGTTGCTCTTAGAAGACATAGCACATAGTACTTTATTTCAATAATATTCTCCTATGTGGCTTCGTATAACACATAGACACAATAGCTTAAACATTGACGTAGCTTGATACTGTTCCTAGAAAATATTCTATAAATGTATTGAGTCAGCATTGAGGCACTATTTAAGCTGCCTGCAAAGATTAATCCTATTTTCACAGGTTATAATTATATTCGTCTTTTAATTTCTTATCAAACAAATTTAAACAGTATTATACAAATTGTAGAATAACTTTACTTCAAAAACATAAATGACCGATAGGACATTCGTTAGTTCCTGAAAAAATATTACATGTACCTACCATCGAAAACTAGATGGAATAGAGGTAATTAAAAAAATTGAACAAAATTATATATAATAGCCAACAAGTTAAATTTGAAAGTATATATGAAGCAAAAAGAGTACAATTTCGTACAGATTTACTTTGCATGTATTTATGCGTACTCTGGCTTGGCCAAGTTTGTTAATGTTTTGATTTTCAAAACACCTACGGCATTCAAAATATTTTTTTATTCCTGTCATCATATTATTTGAAAAAAACACCATCATATGCAGATAATGTATTTGTAATTGTTTCCCCCTGATTATGTGTATTCGCTTATGTATGTTGTACATTTGGAATTTCAGAACAATTGCCAGGTGAAATACAAAAACGAAGGAAAACTCTATTACCTGAACTTAAAAAAGTGCGCGATGATAGACACAAAGCTTATTTTGTGAGAGACAAGATACATGTTGATGGCAAAGAATACAAAAAATAGCAGCATACAAGAGGGCAGTTTAATAATATTAGATGTCTCAGTTGGAACGTTCATGGTTTATATTCATGTTTTGACGATAATGACTTCCTAAATATGATCAATGAATATGATTTAATTTGTTTATGTGAAACTTGGTTGAGGGATAACGAAAAGCTTGATATCTCAATTTTCTAAATTTTAACAAGCTTTTTGAGAAAAAAGAATATTGGAGTTCGAAGGGAAGGTGGTATTTCTGTTTACTGTAAATCTTCTATTTATAACGGTATTATTGTAGAAAAAATATTAACAAATGGTATTGTTTTAGTGAAACTAAAAAAAGATTGTTTTCATATGCATGATGATATTTATATATGCTTTGTTTATATTCCACATAAAAGATCGTCATTTTATTCAATTAATGATTGTGACTTTTTTAATTGTATTGAGAGTATTTTTTTTAGAATATTGTAACAAGGGTAGTGTATTTGTGTGTGGCGATTTTAAAAGTCGCACTGGTTTAATTAATGACATTTTACCTTCTGATAATCTAGATGGCACATTGATGTTATGTGGCATGATGAGGTTCCCAGTATCCCAACTCGTTGTTCGTTGGATACTATCGCTAACCGCTTTGGTAAATTACTTGTACAACTGTGCTATAACACCGGTCTAACGATTTGTAATGGGAGACTTGGAAATAATCGAGATGGAAAATTTACATTTTGTTCAGCTAATGGTCGCAGTGTAATTGACTATATGTTAGCTTCACAAAATTACTATGATAAAATTTTAAACTTTGGCATTCTTAATATAAATGAATTTTCAGACCACTCGCCCCTTGTGTTTGAAGTTGGTATAAAAACTGTTACAAAAGAAAATTTGCCAAAAGTATCAAGCTTTATAAAATGGGAAAAAGACAAAGTGGAAGAATATAAAACTAAGTTGAACTTGCACAAGAACGTTATGACGGAGATTGTTGAAAATCTGCGACAAGTTGGTGATGCAAACTCGGCGGTAAAATCATTAACCGATATTATTTATAATTGTGCGTTTGAGGTGTTCGGTAGTTCAAGGTTAACCCATGAAAAGGAATTCAATCAAACAGTAAAACATAATTAGTGGTTCAACCAGAGATGTAAATTTGAGAAAGCTCAGTTTAATTCAGTTCGTAATACTTTTTTTACGTAATGGAAATAAATCAAACAAACAATTATATATACAGGCACGATCAAAATATAACAAGACTAAACGTTCTGCAAAATTTCAATATAAAAAATCGAAAGGTATTGAATTGTGTAAACTAGCAAAAACGGAACCAAAAGCATTTTGGTAAAAAATCAGACGAAAAACAAAATGATCGTGTAAAGTTGATGCTGATAGTATGTACAAGCATTTTAAAGCCGTTTTGGGTGGTGATCAAAAAGAAATATCGTCAGAAATTAGAAATTTAATAAAAGATCCAAATGGGAATAATCTTTCTATTGATGAACTTGACTGCGCTATCACAGATTTAGAAATTAAAAACGCACTTAACAACCTTCGAATGGGTAAAAGTCCTGGATTCGATAAAATTATAGGAGAAATATTCATGTCCGATTCCGATCTATTTGTGCCTATTCTACAGACACTTTTTAACTTTTTGTTCGACAATGGTTATTATCCTGAAAATTGGAGTGATGGAATTGGGCGTATGACATTTGCGCCGATTTTTAAAATTTTCATTCTTTCATTTGCGCCGATTTCATTTTTTCATTTGCGCCGATTTTATATTTGCTCCTAATTGCATTTACAGTTTAACACAGGTGAGTAAATATTTATACTTGTACTATACCTTGAATGTATATTGGTAAAATCTGGTTATAAACGTTGTTCACTTATGTTTAAGTTAAGAAAATCCAGGCCCTTACATATGTTAAAATGCGAACTCTAGAAATGCCCGCATCAGTATGTTAGCCAGAGAAAGAAAAGATAGACTTCGTTATTGACAATTACTACAAATATAGAGACGAAATCACAAGAAAGGAATATATTAGATGTGTTGCCTATAAACACTTGGCAAGAACAGATTTATGATTTTAATGTATTCCGTTTTTATGGATTTTAATGTTGTAAATAGATTTTTAAT